TATGTTTTATTGCAAATATAAAATGTATGGATTGATGCATGAGAAAATGCTAGCTGTTGTGGCCTTTGGGAGAGAAGTTTAGACACCTAAGGTAGAGGGTCTTAACTTTCAGTTTTGTACTCTCTTGTGTTTAAAGTTATATTACATCCTTTATCTCTTTTATCAACAGCAAATAAATGAACGAGTGAAGAAAGCATATGTACAATCATACTTACATATATGCACACAGGAGAGTGTATTTAACTCTAAATTCTGACCCTTTCTACCGGTTCCAAAGTAAAAGTTTTGGGGGAGAAGACAATTGATTTTTTTAAAGTAGTCTGAATTCTGCAATTTCCTAACATAACTATGAGAATAGAAACAAAAGACGTGCCTCAGGTTGATACTAATAAGCTGAACTTGAACTAGGCCATGCCCTGAGGCTAACTGCTTGGCTGTAACCTAGTCGGACTAAGAATTGTGACTGAGTGATTGAGGACTACAGTACCTAATTCAAAACACCTGGGAGAATGAACGGTCACTCTGGCAGGGAAACACATCAAGCTTACACTCCATCTGCCTAGCCAGGCAGAGCAGGATATGTACAAGGACTAGACAATTTAGAAAGGTTCAAAAAAGTAGGAAACTCATTCCCAACTGATCTCACTGTGGAATACTATGAAGTTATTGGAGACAGACCTCCTTTTCCCAGGGAAGTAAAACATATGTTGGTACACACATACACATACACACTCTCTTTCTCTCTCTCTCTCTCTCTCTCTCTCTGCTTTGTCCTTTCTTGCAGTCCTTGTAGGAATAGAAGACACCTGCAAAACTCAGAGAAAATTTAGAAATGACCAAATGTGTTGTCAGGGCCAGCTTTACAAATAGAAGAGATACATCTTTAAACAACAAATGATTAAGAAGCTTTTAATATTTATATATTTATATATATGTAATGTGCTGAATATATATAGTTGAAATATTAAGCATGTTGAATATATTCAAATGTGTTATATATTTAAATATAATGTATTTAAATAAACATTATAAAATATAAGTAAGTATATAATATTTTTAATATATTAAATATGTTGAATGTATATATATATATATGCATTTGAATTCTGTTCACTAGGGTACATTAAATACAAAATCAGGAGTATAAAATTAAATTCTCTCCACTAAGGCACATTTAATACAAAATCAGGAGTATAAACTGTAAAAACCTTTGGTCCTAAAGTGTTAAAAAACTGAGGGAGAGGTTGGACTTAGAATGACAGGCCACATTGCAATAATAAGGTGCAGAAAACAGACATGAACTCCAAGAGGAAAGAGATTTGAAGCAAAATCTTTACTTGTTTCTAAATATTGCCCAAGGCCTGTCTTGGCCAAAAAATTTGTAGGTTCAGTATGGCTACAGAAACTTGTATCAATAACTAGAAAAAAAAATCCTTTACATTGTAATATCTTTTTTCAATTAAATATATATATATACACACATGTGTGTATTTTTCCAAATATATTTAAGGATCATGAAAACTAAAAAGCATTAAAAAATGATATTAAATAGGAAAAATAAAAATAATTATATGCCATATGAAGGTGTAAGCAACCGGTACTCTCCTACAGTTTTGGTGAAAAATTAAAATGGCACATTTTTGTAGTTTTCACAAAATTAAACCTATACTTAATATATCAACCAACAATTCAACACTAAAATATCTAGCTGCCCTCAATGACAATAGATACCCAACAAAGACTGGTATCAAAATGTCTGTAGCACATTTATTCCCAACACCTTAAAACTGGAAACAATCCTAATAGCCATCAACAAGTGTAGGAAGAAACAAATTGCATGTTCACACTACTGAATACTACACAGCAATAAAAAGGAATAAAATACTGATATAAACAACAACATCATGTGCAGCAAATGAAGCCATATGCAAAAGAATACATACTATATGTTTGCACTGATATGAAACTCCAGAAAAGGCAAAGCTAGTTTAGTGACACGAAGCATATCAGGGTTGCCTGGATCCAGGGCTTCAGAGAATTGATTGAGATAGAGTGACAAAATGTTTTTATATATCTTGATTGTAGAGGTTGTTACATATGTATACAAATTTGTCAAAACTTTTTGAAACTTTTGCAAATGTGCACTTAAATAGGTGCATTTTATTGTATATATATTATACTTCAATAATACTTAATTTTTAAAACAAAATATGGCAATGCTAATATTTTAAACTGTGCAGAAATTATCTAATTATATAGTTAAGCAGCAATTGGGAAGGAAAATGGATTAATAAAAACAGTTTGATTTACTGTGTAGAATCCATAACATTAAACTGATGGAATTTTGGCTAAAACTTCTATAATTTATTGAGACCCCTATTAATGTTGCTCATATTTTAAATCCTTACTATATATAAAATTATAACACATATGTACTTATGGCCAGCAAGTACATAAAAATGAAACTTAGTTTTCCTATGTAGATTTAAAGTCAACAAATATTTGGGGAGTCTACCATATTCAAACTATATTGACACATTGATACACTGATATAAAAGATTGAGATTCTGGTCTCAAGACACTTCCAATTTAGTATGAGAGGTATATGTTCATCAAGAATACATCTAATAATTTAGTTTGATTTGAAATGGATAAAGTGTAGTTATTATTAAGCCAAATATAGCATACACTTTTAGAAAATTTTGACATTGGACCTGTGTGAAGATTGAATAAGGTGGGGGAAGGAAGTACAAGTGGAGATTTACCAACATATACAGCAAAGAGAAAAACAATGTAAGACTCAATAAAAGAGAAAATATTAATATAATTTATTGAATAGTAACATTTTTAGAAAAGAAAAATATAAATAAAACACAGAAGGAAATCAAAGAGCAGTAGAAAAGTAAGATTTTTTACTCAGGGTCCCCAAATAGAAAAAATATAAACTAATAAAACAGGCTTATTTAAAGAAGCAATTATTTGTGTTATCAAATTATATATACAAAGATTATATAATGTACAGTCATAAATATAAATAAATTAATTAATCCAAAAGTTAATCCAAAAATCCAAGAAACTCTAACAAAATAAAATTATTTTGAGTCCTTAAAAAAGTTATCTAAGTTTAACAAAGAGGGAAACAACAGACACTGGGCTCTACTTGAGGGTGGGGAATGGGAGGAGGGCGAGGAGCAGAAAAGGTACCTACTGGGTACTGGGCTTAATACCTGGATGATGAAAAAATATGTACAACAAACCCCTGTCACACTTGTTTATCTATGTAACAAACCTTCACATGTACTCCCAAACCTAAAATAAAAGTTAAGAAAAAGTTTTCCAAGTTTAAAGACCAAGTTTATTTTCTCTGATTATTTGCAACTCAATTTCTCAAAAGACATAGTTACCAGAATACATGTACCTGACCAAAAATGTCTAAGTAACAATAGATAACAGAAATCTTCATAGAACTGGAATCTGGGAAGAATCTTCCAAGTATATAACACACCAATAATATAAAGTCACCAAAAATCATCCAGGAGAAAACCAATGAGCAAATCAAGATTTGACAAGATAGATGCAATTGAAGGACTAGAAAAAATAAAATTATTTGTCCTTGCTAGTCACAAATATTATATGGCATTCCCCTAAGCAGCAACAAAGATTTAACAACTTCTAAAAAGTTCTCAAGAAATACTAATGAAGTGCCTCTGTACTAAAATTGGGGGAAAAAAGCACAGGCTCATGGTGGACAGCGAAGAAAGGAAAAAGGCTAAAAGGAAGTCAAGGTGTTGGGAAAAATAAGGACAGTTTGAAGTACAGTGTGTTAAAATGTAAATGTTTGATGGTAGATTGTTACAAAGAAAATACTGATTTAAAGGGCATAAGAAACTATGGCTGAAGTGATATGAAATATGGGATTTTTCTCAAAATAATATAGAAATGGGGAGTAAGGTAAGAGTACGAAAGAAACGTGAGTTGCCATTTGTCGATACTTGTTGAAGCTGGGTAACTATTAATACATGGGGGTTTTTTATCTTTTTTATTCACTGTTTTATTTTTTGAGACATGGTCTTGCTCTGTCACTCGGGCTGGAGGTGCAGTAGTGTGATCATAGCTCACTGCAGCCTTGACCTCCTGTGCTCCAGCAATCCTCTCACTTCAGCCTCCTGAGACTGAAGAAGTCTGCAGGCATGTGCCACCATCCCCAGCTAATTTTTTGTATTTATTTTAGAGATGAGGGGGGTCACACTTTATTGCCCAGGCTGGTCTTGAACTCCTGAGCTCAAACAATCCTCCTGCCTTGGCATCCCAAAGTTCTACAATTATAGAGTTGTTTTTATATATTTAAAATGCTCCATGACAGCTTTTTTAAATGGAACAAATAAGAAAGTAAGTAATAAATGAGGAAGTGGGGGAAAAGGAACAATTTAAGATATCTGTATAATTGACTGTCCATACTGGAACAGGTTGGGAATGAAAGGGAGCAGGATTGATAGTTCTAACTCCTATCAGCCTAAGCCAGGGCTGTCTTCAGCAGTCCAGGATATATGGTCACTCTACTTTTAACCATCAGGTTTCAAACATCAGGCTACTGGGATTTAACATTTTAACAAAACAGAAAATGGACAGAACAACTTGGAATTGACAACATTTAGATTATTAGCAGCCAGTTGCTTTTTAAGTCTTTGCGAAAAACTAGTTTCAAATGATTGTCACGATCATTGATTTTTCTGGGCTATATAAGTAGAAAACTGCTTACCAGGGATTGAATCTAGCCTGCAGAGCATGTGTGTTTTGGCCTGCAATGCACTGGGCTAGAGAGGGCTTAAAAAACAAACAAACAACAACAACAAATCTTTGAGTTAGTTGACAACATTTCTATGTCATATTAAAATCTTCCCTTTAAAAAACTGAGGAGTGTCAGTGCTAGGCAGGTATTATCATGTGTCAACAACCAACTGCAGCAGCGCTTCCTCTCCCGAGTTTTCCCCACTTCTTACCTCTCCCTCAGTATTAGTGATTTCTAATACTGAGAAGCTTTGCTTGTTTTCCTTCTTTGGCTCCTACAGGCATCTGAGATTTCAACCATCCTTCTAGGTCAAGCTTTCAGCATTGAAACAATAAAAGTGAGGCTGGAGGAAGAAGTTGTTATTTTATAAGCAATTTGAAATATAAATCAACAAGCCCAAAGTAATAATCTGGGCATTTTTTAAGATTCATAGGGTATATTACACTACAATTGTTTAAATATGCTCAACAGAAGAAGCTAATTCTATTTAGAAAATTTATCTTTGTCTACATTTCAAATTATTTCATAATTCCCAAGGATAATTAGCCTGAGTTTATATGAGTTCAGAACTCTCTTACTAAAAATGACAATAGCCAATCTACAGCCCATTGGCAACATACAGTTAGAGACCCCAGTCCAATAACTGCTGCTCACCTGCTTTTTTCAATAAGCTCAGAACGTCAATGAGTGTGCAACTGTTGGCAAATTTTCATTAATTACAAGGCTCATCAGCAGCTGTGCAATGTGGGAGGTTAGGGAGAGACTGCTCCATTCTGAAGAAAGAGTTCAGAAATAAATGGGGTTTCCAATGACAAAGCATTCCAAAATAAGATAAGTTGTTTTGACAGTAAAGAGAATAGCATAGAAGAACAAGGGTGCTCATCATGGACAACGTGATGTTCAAACAACTTTAAAAAAAAGGGGGTTTCAGCTGGGCATAGTGACTCATACCTATAATCCCAGCACTTTGCAAGACTGAGGTGGGTGGAACACTTGAGGTCAGGAGTTTGAGAACAAGGTAGCCTGCCAGGTCGGTCCTGCAGACCGTAGCTGAGCAATGGATAAAAGGAGTACTCAGACACAGGTATACAGTGTAACAGTGGCTAGGGGACTGCCAGCTCTAATGGCCGAAGAGAACAGCATTAGAGAGCAGCCTCAAACAGCTGGAGTTGCTTGCTTTTATTCAGTACAGACATAATGCCAAAAGTTTCTCCCACCACTCTGACCAATTTCCTACACTGGCCAACATGGCAAACCCCAGGTCTACTTAATATACAAAAATTAGCTGGAACTGGTGGTGTACACCTGTAGTCTCAGCTACTTGGGAGACTGAGGCAGGAAAATTGCTTGAACCAGGGAGGCAGAAGTTGCAGTGAGCTGAGTTCACACCACTGCACTCCAGCCTGGGCCATAGAGCAAGGCTCCATCTAAAAAAATTAAAAGTTTACATTTAAAAAAAAAAAAAAAAGGCTTTCAGTCTCTAGCTTAGGCCAGGCATGGTGGCTCATACCTGTAATCCCAGCACTTTGGGAGACTAAGGTAGGAATATTGCTTGAAGCCAAGAGTTCAAGACCAGCCTGGGCAACACAGTGAGACCTCATCTCTAAAAACATTTTTTTTAACTTAAAAAATTAGTAAGGTGTAGTGATACAAACCTTTAGTCCCACCTACTTGGGAGGCTGAGGTGAGAGGATTAGTTGGCCCTATGAAGTCCGCGCTACAGTAAGCTATGACTGCACTACTGCAGTCCAGCCTGGATGGCAGAGCAAGACTCTGTCTCAAAACAACAGCAACAACAAAAATCTTTAGCATAAAAGGATCAAAACGGTACAGTGGGTTTCATAGCAGTGATCTAAATGTTTTAAATATATACATACATTTCTGGCAAAAGTATCTGTGACCTGAACTGATGTCTCTTGTGAGTTGAAGAAATGTTTGCTTGCTTGATGTCGGTCTTAATGCAGAGAAAAGAGGAATTAGAGAGGCCAGTTTGGAAGACTTTAGTTTTTACTGATTTCCATGATGAAATTTCCACTGCAGCCAGGCTAGTGTCCACATTTGTCTCCATGTGACCATTCAAAACGTTTAGTTTCACCCACATCTCTGGATTTCCAAACATCATTTATATTAGTATTTTAGGGTGTGGATTATTGAAATCCTTGGTACTAAAGTACATAAGCTAAAATCTACTTAGACAACCATCTTAAACACTTTGTATTTATTCACATGATTAAAAACTGTGTAAAGATTAAAAGAAATAAGTTAGAGTTATGAAGAACAGCATGAATCTCATTAAATATTTTTCAGTAACAAAATTGCATGATACCTAATGTGACTAGCTTATTCATTGTATATACTCACAATCTCAGAGTCCTATCTTACTCTTTTCTCCCTTCAAACACCCTCCGAAGAAACCTTTATCTGCATAATCATATATGGCTTATTCATGTTCATGTTCAGTCACTAATATCCATGTTACTGAATTGCAAGATCAGTTCTCTTTCTTCATCTGAATTGACCTGCCACCAATATTTGGTATGACTAATCACTCCCTTCTTCTTCAGACATTGTCTTCATTTGGCTTCCTGGACACAACTTTCTCCTGGATTTTCCTTCTCTTTACTCACTATTTTTCAGTCTTCTTTGTTAGCTCTTCCACATCTTTATGACCTCTGAGTGTTCGAGTGCCCAAGCCTCAGGCCTTAAACTTCTATCTATGTATTAATTTTAGTGGCCTCTTTTAGCCTCAAGACTTCACATGCTATCACTATGCAGATGGCTTAAAAATTCAGCTGCCTGATCAACCATTCCACATGAACGTCTGAAGGCATCACTAACCGGACATTCCCAAAACTGAGTTTCTGATTTTCCCATTATACACATCCCCCAAAACCTTCCCCTTTCACAGTCTTCCATATGCCAGTTAATGAAAACTCTATTCTTCCAATTAGTCAACGTCAAAAACATGTCAACCTTGACCTCTCTCTTTCACATCCCAAATATAACCCATAAGAAATCCCTGTGCATGCCACCTTCACAATCATTCCAGAATCTTGACTGTTTACCACTTTTTCTGCTACTTATTTGTCAAACTTCCTATGCTCTCTTCCCTGAGTCATTGACATAGACTCCTAATAGGCAGTCTCTGCTTGCCATTTGCTCCTTCAGTCTCATCTCAACACAGAAGCCATAGCAATCCACTTGAAATACGACAGATCAAGTTACGTTGCTGAAAACCTTGCAGTGTCTTCTACCTCACCAAGGATAATATCCAAAGTCCTTATACTTATTAACAAGAACCTAGATGATCAGTTCTCTCTTTCCCCCAGTTCTCCAATTCCCTTAGTCACTCTGACCTCTTCTACTCTTCCCTCCCTTGTTCATTATGTTTCAGGCTCATAGAATTCCTTGATATTGTCTGAGCATGCAGGTTGCTTGCTGTTTCCTCTGCTTATGATGCAAGTCTTGGCTCAAATATTACCTTCACATTGACCTGTTCTATGATCACCCATTTTATTTCCTGTATATCTTCATGACTTATTTTTCTGCACAATATTTACAGTTTTCTTAAGTACCATAGTGACATACAGTCACATGACACATAATGACATTTCAGTCAATAAGACCACATATATGACCGTAGTCTCATAAATTATAATGAGAGTGAGGCATCCCCATCACCTAGCGATGTCTAGACATTGTAATCTTGCAGCATAACACATTACACACATGTTTGTAGCAATGCTGATATAATCTACTGCACAGCCAGTTGTATAAAAGTATAGGTCTGCCGGGCACAGTTGCTCATGCCTACAATCTCAGCATTTTGGGAGGCTGAGGCAGGCGGATCACCTGAGGTCAGGAGTTCGAGACTAGCCTGACCAACATGGAGAAACTCCATCTCTACTAAAAATACAAAATTAGCCAGGCATAGCAGCACACATCTGTAATCCCAGCTACTGGAGAGGCTGAGACAGGAGAATCACTTGAACCCGGGAGGCAGAGGTTGCAGTGAGCCAAGATTGCACCATTACACTCCAGCCTGGGCAAGAAGAGCAAAACTCTGTCTCAAAAAAATAAAAAAGTATAGGTCTAACTCATTTTATTGCCTTTAACAGATATTTTGTTTTTTTAAAAATTGAAGGTTTGTGACAACCCTGCATAAATCACGTGCTCACTTTGTGTCTCTGACACATCTTGGTAATTCTCACAGTATTTAAAACTGTTTTATGATTATTATATCCTTTATGGTCATCTGTGACCAGAGATCTCAGATGTTACTATTGAAATTGTTTGGGTTGCCAGACACCATGCCCACAGAAGATGGCAAATAATCAGTAAGTATGACCTCTGAATGTTTGAGTAGCCAAGACTCAGGCCATAAACTTCTATCTCTGTATTAATTTTGGTGGCCTCTTTAGCCTCAAGGCCTCAAATACTATCATTATGCAGTGATAGTATTTGGCTTGTCACAAAACAACCATTCCTCTGTCACTCACCCTCTCCTTGGACCACCCTATTCCAAGAGACACAATAATATTAAAATTAGAGCAATTAATAATCCTACAGTGACTTCTAAGTGTTCAAGTGAAAGGAAGTGTCAGTCACACATCTCTCACTAAATCAAAAGCTAGAAATGATTACACTTAGTGAGGAAGGTCAAACTTAGTCAAAAGCCAGGCCAAAAGCTAAACCTCCTGTGTTAAACAGCCAAGTTGTGAGTGCAAAGGAAAAATTCTAGAAGGAAATTAAAAGTGCTGCTTCAGTGAATGCACAAATCATAAGAAAGTAAAACAGCCTTATTGCTGATCTGAAGAAAGCTTTAATGGCCTGGATAGAAGATGAAATCAGCCTCAACATTCTCTTAAGCCCAAGACTAAGCTAGATTAAGTCCCTAATTTTCCTCATGTCCGTGAAGGCTGAGAAGGGTGAGAAAGCAACAGAAGGAAAGTTTAAAGCTAACAGAGGTTGGTTTCTGAAGTTTAGGGGAGAAAGCCATCTCTATAACATAAAAGTGCAAGGTGAAGTAGCAAATGCTGATGTAGAAGCTGCAGCAAGTGATTCAAAAGATCTGGCTAAGGTAATTGCTAAGGTGACTATACTAAACAACAGATTTTTCAGTTTAGACCTAACAGCCTTCTTTTGGAAGAAGATAGCATCTAGGACTTTCACATCTAGAGAGAAGTCAATGCCTGGCTTCAAATCTTGGAGGAATAGCCTGACTCTCTTGTTAGACGCTAATGCAGACTGTAACTTTAAATTGGAGCCAATGCGAATTTGTCATTTCAAAAATCCTATGGCCCTTAAGAATTGTGCTAAATCTACTCTGCCTATGTGCCATAAATGGAAGAACAAAGACTAAAGACAGCACATCTGTTTAGAGCATAGTTTCCCAAATATTTAAAACTTACTGTTGAGACCTGCTACTCAGAAAAAAAGAAAAAATAGGTCTTTCTTTCTCCATATCAGCAGTACAGCTGTTTCAGTTGCTTATGACTTGTGTGTTTACTAGAAAAGCACTTTTAATTTCCTTCTAGAACTACATAGTACCGCTTTTTGACAAGGCAACTTGTCACTCGAGAGCTCTAATTAAAATGCACGAGATTAATATTGTTTTCACGCTTGCTAACACAGCATCCATTCTGTAGCCCATGGATCAACGAGTAAAGACATTCACATTTTGTTATTTAAAAAATGCATTTTGTAAAACTATAGCTACCAGAGATAGGGTATAGCCTATAAGTAATGGGCTGTACCATCTAGGTTTACGTAAATGCACACTATGATGTTTGTAAGACAACAACATTGCCTAATTATCCATTTTTAAGAATATATTACAATTGTTAAGCAATGTATGACTGTCCTTAATTACTTAGTTTTCTGTCTGTGCCTACCCTAAAATGTAAGCTCCATGAAGGCAAGAATTTTTGTTCATTTCATTCAGTGTTGAATCTCCAGTGCATATAATTAATATTTATTAAATAGAGAAATAAATTTATTTGATACTATATATTTCTATGAAGTACGTGTGTGTGTGTCTTCAATCCAAGTTTAGCTAAGGGAGAGTTGGGAGTAGGATAATGATAAATGGGTCATGATAGACAGTGGGTAAAGGGGACCATCAAAATACTTTATCCCTCTTTTAAGTTTTTTAATATAATATAGTCATTATTTTTATATGATGGAGTTATTATTTGTTAATAATAATATAATGCATAACATTACAGTACCAGGAGATATATCTAATTCAAGCTGCTAAAAATCTGATTATCTTTCACAAGAATTTAATTTAGAATTGGGTCATTGTGGACTAAGTCAGTCAGAAAACTGTGAGGATGGAAAGCAAATGGCCTCCTACTTCTCAGTGCCATTCACAGGTAGAAACTACATTTTGTTTTCTGTCCACATTCTTTCCTAAGCATCCTTTAACTTGAACTACTTTAAATAAAATTTTATTCCTTGAAATAGTAGATTCTTAATTTAAATACACAATACTACCTTTTCATCTATATAAACTAAGTCAACACCCCAACATTTGGAAAAAAAAAAAGCGAAATACCAGAAAATGTACTCAATGCTGAATACACGCTTTTAACCAAAAGGTATGAGAAGGCCAACAGCAAGGCGGATTCTTGTCTTGCAGAGTTGTTCAAATATATATTAATTTGCACTACCCTCATTTAATAGGTTCATTCCTATTAAAACTATTCTTTATTTAACAGAAGTCCCTTAATTCTGCCATTCTATCCCATCAATTTAAATGACTATTTTCAGCCTCAATGTCCCCAATGTTTGGTGTGTGATTTGCATGTAATTTACCACTAATAATGGAGTACCTAAATTTATTAGTTGCTTCCCCTTTTTATAAATTTAAACAATTTATAAATTCCCATATGAGTTTATAAGTAAAAGAGAAATTAGTGAGGGTTACAGGTAGCCACAGAGTCACACATT